GGCAGGTGGCAGTGCCAGGGCAGGGCCCCTGGCAGCCGTGCTCCGCGTCTGCACCATGTCTGCAGAGCTGTGCCTACTGCTTTTGCTTGCTGGAGGTACCGCTCTGGGCAGCTACCTTGCACCTGCCTTATGTGAACACTGGCGCAAACGCCGGTGCACCCTTACAGAGTGCACCTGTTCATGCACGCTGCCTGCGCGCGTCTTGGGAGCACGGCTCCCTGTCAGGCAAGCTAAGAGGGCTCTGAAGGGCTTCCCCTCTGGATCTGCCTCAGCTGTGCTGTACCCTCTGCCCCACTTACCTTAGGGGGAATCAGCTGTTGCTGCCCCTGCCGCTGCCTCCTCCACAGCTGCTGCCTCCACTGCCAAGGTAAGAGGGTACCCGTGTGTGTGTGGCACACGTGTGCCCTGCTCCTTCTGCCGGGGGTTCCTTCCAACTGCAGCTTTTTAAAGCCCGTGGTTTGAAATTCCCGCGGTTGACCCTTTCTTCCTTCCCCTTGGTTTCTGCTCTTCTAAATCTATGTCCAAGTGCAAGTTTCTCTGATACTTGAGTATAATAGTATAAACTTATTATATAATGTTTCTTATCCTTGAGGCATACAGGTATATGCCTATATGGGCTTGTCGGTGAAAATATAAACCATTTAATGTTGATTCCTATTGAGCCATTTCAAAACTAGACAAACATGCATTGTTTAATCCTTACATTTGATATGCTTTACAGTGATAGTTTGGTTGAAAATGGCCTCTGGAACCTACATTACTTCCCTCCTCCCTATAATGTAATGCATGACCCCATATCTTTGTTTTACTGCAGGAGCCACCAACAAATGGAACACAAGTTAACTTAAACCTAGAGGAGGCTGGTGACATCTGAAAGAGGGTAGGCAAAATTGATGTGCAAAGGTGTGCTCAGAGTTAATTTAGATTGATCAAAATGATAGCTGTGGACCACAGTGAGCCCTGCGATAACGAAAACATAAAAATCTATGGAAGCCAAGAGCATCACCCTGTTATTTCCGGGCCAAATTTCATTTGCCATACCTGATGCCACAAATATTAGACAAAACCTATCCTGAGGAACCACCACTGGTTAGCCTCAGGTCCACGTATTGCAAGGACAAAAAATTGATGCAGATGACAGATGGTAAGAAACGAGGAAGATGCATTACAGAAGTTACAGTAACTGGCAACATGGGTTGAAGCATTCCTTTTAGGTAGGCTACTGAAATGCAAAGTAACTGTTAAAGTTAACCGGTATTAATACAGAGCTATGGAAATTTATGTGAGTACTAGTTATCTGGAATCTGATACTAAACTTTTTGCAAGTGACCTGACAAAAGTTTGTAGTCACCACCGTAAAATGAAAATGTTTGTTAATTGGAAAAAAGTTGATCACAACTTTTGGTCACAATTTGAAGCAATCAAAACATCTCACTCTGTCCCCTTTTGACTGAATTTTATTTTCCATCCTCACAAGCTCATTGCAAGTCAAAGCCCTAGAAAACTGTGGTTGTTTACAGAGATGGCACTGGGGAAAAAGAACGACTGACAAATGACTCTTGGTGAATATTTTTATTATTAAAAAAATAATGTTATCTAATAAGCCTCCCTGTCCTATATAAAAGTAAAATCATACCGTGCCCCTCCCTATTAACCTATCACATTCAGTCAATTCTCCAGGATTATTTTAACAAGTGCTTTCCAGTTGTCTTTCATTAAAAAAAAAAAAAAAAATTTTTTCTGTAGACCACTGTCTGTTTGCAGGGTAGTATACAAGAACCCCAACAGTTTTGGGGATTGAGATTGGTTGGGGATCTGTGAAAAGATCTGGAAATATAGTCCACACAAGGAAATGATTGAACTACTATTATGAATTTTAGTTATTGTAGTAGAGCCCAAAAGTGACAGATTATTATTTTTTTATTCCAGGGAAAGTGGGGCAGCTGTGCTCCAGTGCCCTCTGTCTGACCAGCTGCTGTTTGGAATATGTTTGCTACTTAGAAAGGAACTGAAATTCAGGTACAATCCACGTAGACCTGTGAAATAAAAAGAAAGAACTGAGGAACATACCCCCCAAATCTGTGGAAATCTGTTACGTTCCTATATCTCTGGCTGCGGCTCTGATCTTCCTGTTGGGACACCTCATTCAGTTCCATTTCTATTGGAATTATTGACAAGTAGCAGCTTCAAGTATTATAAAGCTGCTCAGTTCATTTCAGTGGAAATTTAAACCTGTTCAGGTATTTTTAAATTTATATCTAATTTCTGTATTAAGACTTATTTTTTAGTCAGTAGCATAATTTCTTTGTTCCACATATGATTTGACTACAGGAAACCCTCGCTATTCGTGAACTCCAGATTCGCGGATTCAGATATTTGTGGGGGAGGGCAGAGTCGGGAGGTGAGCAAGCACTGGGGATATAGAGGGAGGCAGCGGTGGCATCTTTTCCCCCAGAGGCAGCTGTGGCAACGCTCGGGGAAAGGGTTGGTCCCCAGGTGCTGCAGGGGAGCCCTGGGGATGGGGGTGGCAGAGGTATCTTTTCTGCCACTGCTGCCAGGGGCAGCCGTGGCAGTATTCGGGAGGGAAGGGGTCAGTCGCCAGGTGCTGCAGGGGAGCCCCGCCAACAATGGAGGGGGGAGGAGGGGGCGGCTGTGGGGTCTGACGAGGAGCCCCGTCAGCATTCACGGATTTCGCCATTCACGGGGATCTCTGGAACGTATCCCCTGTGAATGGCAAGGGTCTCCTGTATTTTAATTATCAGAATTTCTGATCCCCTGAAAACATTTTCTTCTTCAAATATTAGTTTGAAACTTTAAAGGAAAGCTATAATTTGATTCTTAGGTAATGGTAATTGGCATTTTTCTAAACTAAAAAGTCTGTGATGTGTGACAGTAGTTCACTATTTCAAGCTTCGATTTGGTGATGTACTTAAACACCTTTCTAATATAAGGTAAGTGAGAAGCCCTTTTTATGACCAAAGAATTGTTAAAGAGTTAAACCACAGAGTTGTCAAATCAATGAATCCCCTTGGAGTCACCAGGAACAATGGCTACAAGCTGAGGGAGGAGAGGTTTAGGTTAGATATTAGGAAGAACTACTTCACTGTAAGGGTGGCCAGAGCCTGGAATAGGCTCCCCAGAGTGGTGGTGCTCTCACCTTCCCTGGAAATCTTCAAGAGGAGACTAGATAGGCACCTGGCTGGGGTCTTATGACCCCTCCCACCCTCAGTGCTCCTTCCTGCCATGGCAGGGGGTCAGACTCGATGATCTGTCTAGGTCCCTTCTGACTCATTGATTCTATGATTCAATGTTCGTGCAAGGAATCTCACATTTATAGCAAATTTTCTTCTGTGGTAAGGTTTTAAAGTATCAGTTTCATGAAAAAAAAGAATTTGGCATTTCAGACAAATGTTTTCTTTGAAAAAGCTTATACATAGCTTATGAAACAAACATTTCTGAACTAAATGGTTAGATTGATTTCATTCTTCTGATCAGCCAAAGTCATTTGGATTTTAAATTTATATAATTTTAAAATAAGTTTTACAATGCTGTTGCTGAAAAAGATTTCCTGAACAATGAGTATTTGAAATCTTTAAATAAAAACTATTGCTGTGAAGGTTCCAACAATAATCTTATTGGGTGTTTATAGATGTGCTCCAGGAAGTTTGGGGGATGGTGCTAATTGAAAGCATCTGGACTGTCATGTGCATTAGCATCCCCACATGGAAAATTGGGGCAGCGTGCTTTAAACTAAAGCTCATTAAACAAGCTTTAGTTTAAAGTGCCCCGCCACTATTTTTCAGTGTGGGGAGGCTGTTGCATGTGACGCTGGAGTGTGGCAATTACATCTGAGGAGCCTCCCTGTATGTGTGTAGGAGCCTATTGTTGCCCATCTGTGTATTCTGACATGATGTATTTTATTTAAGATGAGAGAAATGTAATCCTTTACTTAACATGTTTTCAGTAAACACCAATTCTTTCAGATTTAATTGAATGTGTTCTGTGATTCTAATTTAATCTTTTTTTTCTAGGCACAAGATATTGTAAACTCAAAGCGTGAATATGGGTGAAAAGAAACCGGAGCCCCTGGACTTTGTAAAAGATTTTCAGGAGTACCTTACTCAACAGACGCACCATGTAAATATGATTTCTGGATCAGTTAGTGGTGATAAGGAAGCAGAGACTCTTCAGGGAGGTAGGCCAAGTTCAGTGCTGTCAGATTTCAGTTTTGAGGAACAGTCAGGCTGATGTTTACATTCTGCTGTATACTGTCATAACAATCTATGTAAAATGTAGAGTTTTTGGTGCACGTTTTTCCAAAAATGTGTATTTCATGGACTTCATAGATTTCATAGACATTTGGGCTGCAAGGGACCCTGGAGGATCATTGAGTCCAGCCCCCTGCCCCAGGGGCAGGAAGTCAGCAGGGATCATAGAATCCCAGCAAGATTAAGCATTGAAACGTGTCTTAAAGGTGTTCAAAGTGGGTGCTTGAACCGCCTCTGGTGGCAGTCTGTTCCAAACCTTGGGTGCTCGGACAGTAAAGAAGTTCTTCTTTATGTCTAGCCTGAATTGGTCGCGGCGGAGTTTGTGACTGTTTGATCTTGTCATCCCTTGGGGCGCTCTGGTGAACAAACGTTCCCCCAGATCCTGATGAGCAGTAGTGTAGTTCATGATACAATAAGAAATTTCCTATTAATTTAGTTTTGCTTGGGAGCCAGTGGAATAGAGGAGCTAAAAAATCCAAACATCTCTGTAATAACTGACAACACTGCAATAACAGTTAACATCTCTGAATCTATTGCATTATTCACAGCTGGGACGGATGGTGATCAGAATGGACTAGATCATCCTTCTGTTGAAGTTTCCTTGGATGAAAACTCAGGAATGTTAGTGGATGGGTTTGAAAGGACATTTGATGGAAAGCTGAAGTGTCGATACTGCAACTATGCTAGCAAAGGAACAGCACGGCTGATAGAGCATATCAGAATTCACACAGGTATGAAGGATTCTACAGTACTTTGCTATGGGGCAACGTATATACTGTCTTCTGTATGGGAGAATAACAGATTTTGGAGTTACGTGTATATCTTCAAACTGTAATAATTTTTACTACTTTTTTTTAATACACTGGAAGAGACAGAACCTACTTTTTGAAAGACTTTCTCTTAAGATATGCAATATTTTAATAATAATACACATAAGTCCCAATCCTGTAAACATGTGTTCAAACGTGCTATTGTGAGCAGTCATGTTGAACTGATTGCAACAACTTATGGTAGTAAAGTTTAGCCCACTCGTGAATGTTGGAGAATTTAGGACTTTACAGAATAACTTATTTTGACTTTTAGTTACAAACTTCATAACTGACAATGATACTTACACTGGTACAAATTTTTAATAACTGGAGAAACACTTAAAATCAACAACAAACAGCAAGAAGCTGTTTTTTCCATTTAAGTTGTAAAAATACTGTCAATTTGAATGACATTATAAGTATGAAAAGATGCATGATACATACATCTGAACATATTAAATATTAATAACATTTATCTTATTGTTAGTATGCTCCAGCTACTTAAGCACCTGTCAATAAACTGAGCAATAATTAAAAAGTAACCATTCTATAAGAGAACTTAGTGGTATACTCAATAATAGCACATATACTGTTACTGCTATTTATTCGTTTGTTCATAAAAAAACCACGATATATATTGGCAAACTTATGCAGAAATTCCCTACATAAATTGCTAAGATATTTTTTAAATGTTCTTGTAGCTGAATAATAGAGGAATAGATCTGCTTAAAAACTGATTACTAGGAAAAAAAACTAGAACAGCACTGTGGATAAAATGATGAAAATATTTCTGGACACTAAGATAAGTTACAAAATGTCATTTCTTTTTAATTTTAGTAAAAGACCCAAATTATAAAGCTTACTCCTCAGGCAGGTTCTTCCATTTATGATGGTATTTCTCTTAACTTTGCAAGTCTAAAGCCACTGAACTATTTCTTGTAGCCTGTGTTCTAGGACTCACGGCTTGTTTACACAAAGAGGTTTCATTTGAAGTAAGATGCTTTGTTTTAATTGCTTTACTGTGGCCAAATGGTTCAATTGAACACATTTGTACTGCTGGCTTTTACTTAGCTATGAGTCATTGTTTCCACAGGGGGGATGACTTCCTTTGTAATATATGCTCAGCATTGTGACTGGGTATCTCACTCTTCTTTATGTCACTTTATCTTTGTAGCACGTAAAATACCAGGTGTATACTGTAGCATGCATATCGGCAACTTTCAATAAAGGCATATGGTATGAGACTTACTTTTTCCTTTTGTAGTACCTCTGGCAGCCGGTCTTCAGAAAGCTGGCTGGAAAGGGGGAGAGTATGCTGGGTGACTAGATCACTATCTATAGTTCTTTGGTCAGGCTTCTCTGTATCCAAAAATTTCTTGGCTATCAGGAAAATCTTTGTAAAAGGAGCCATTAGTTCTGCAGTACTCAGTACTCCTTAGTATAAGGACCACATCCATAACAAAGTGCAAGGTGACACTGGTAATTTCCTGCATCACATGGTATCCCAAAATTGTGCCAAAATTCTGTTCAGTTGGTCACAGTATAGGTAGAAGGCTCACTTGCAGCTGCAACTCTCTTTCTCTGTACCCTAGTTATAAACTTTTTCAGCCATTACCTTTGTGATTCCCTAAAATGTGTGTTTCTATACCTGGTGACTGGGGTTTCCTGTACCTTCACCTCTCCCCAGAGGGTAACGTGATCAAAGACCTCAGCATAGCCCCAGTTGGGAACACAACATAGAGGCATGACACAGGACTAGTAGTACATGGAGTGCCACTTGAGTAGGCAAATTCCTGGAGCATATAAGCATCAATGGACTGAATCTGGCTCTGTGTCAGTATGTAAACAGCAAAGTGGCAGCTGGTCCTGGTGACCTTGAAACAAATGGACACGTAAGTAAATAGAGTAACTGGTAGGGACAACATGCAAAGCAGGGTGGAAGGCTACCGAAGGACCACCAAAATAGTTTACAGTGTAGATGTACCCACATGTAACTTATGGAGTAAAATTATTGTCAGCTATCAGAAGTAAAAACATTGTCTTCACTAGAATGCCATCTCTTTACATCAGTGCAACCCAGCTTTTGAAGTAAATGAACCAAGTAGACAGGCCCTCAGTGTCTCTTCTATGGGCAGTTTCTGTTTCCTGCCTCTATATGTTATTATCTCTTTTTTTTAGGTGAAAAGCCACACAGATGCCATTTATGCCCATTTGCATCAGCTTATGAACGTCATCTGGAAGCTCATATGAGGTCACATACTGGTGAAAAACCGTACAAGTGTGAATTGTGTTCCTTCCGCTGCAGTGACAGAAGTAACTTGTCTCATCATCGTAGACGCAAACATAAAATGGTACCTATTAAAGGTACACGGTCTTCCCTAAGCAGCAAGAAAATGTGGGGAGTTTTGCAGAAGAAGACCAGCAATCTGGGGTACAGCAGAAGAGCATTAATTAATTTGAGTCCACCTTCTATGGTGGTTCAAAAACCAGACTACCTTAATGATTTCACCCATGAAATCCCAAATATTCAAACTGAAGCATATGAGAGCATGACAAAAACAACACAAACCAGTGTGCTGCCAAGAGATCCACAAGACCTTATGGTAGATAATCCTTTGAATCAGCTATCTACATTGGCAGGACAGTTGTCTAGCTTGCCACCTGAAAACCAAAACCCAGCATCTCCTGATGTTGTACCATGTCAAGATGAAAAGCCTTTTATGATACAGCAGCCTACTGCACCAGCAGTAGTTTCAACCGTAGCAACAAATATTCCTCAAAGTTCATCTCCTACCAGCCCGGATCCTCGGCCTACACACAATCAGAGGAACTATAGTCCTGTGGCAGGTCCAAGCAGTGATCGTAGCGCCCATACTAGTACTCCTAGCATAAGTAACAGTCAGCCAAGTACTCCAGCTCCAACCCTTCCAGTTCAGGACCCTCAGCTTCTGCATCACTGCCAGCACTGTGACATGTATTTTGCAGACAATATCCTTTATACTATTCACATGGGATGTCATGGGTTTGAAAATCCTTTTCAATGCAACATATGTGGGTGCAAATGTAAAAATAAGTATGACTTTGCCTGCCATTTTGCAAGAGGCCAACATAACCAACACTGACTGAAAAGCATACATTCATTTAGTTTTTTAACATAATACGGTATATTTTTTCATACTTCCTGAAGGAGACTTTTCTCATCTCCCCAATAAAAAGTCTAACATTAAGCAGTTTGACAAAGGAGACACACTTCTATCCATGCTGTTGTAAGACTTGCCAGGGAAGTTTGGGAGGCATGATGGTAACAGCTTTTATGTGGCTTTTTCTTTTTTTTTCCAATAGAAAGATAAGGGATTGTAATGCAATTACATATTTTGTTATATTTAAGTTCCTTGTGCTTAAGATTCAGGTGAATAGTCTACAGTTGATCCAAACTGTGTGCCCTTAAACATGGGTTGTAATTCACCAGACACAATACAAGATAAGAGATCTTGATACCTAAAATATGGCAAATGTTAATTTAACAAAATGTATGTTTAGTGTGAAAAATGTATTCATGCTTACTAGCTACCTACCAAACCGAGTGGGGGGAGAACTTTTACACACAAATAGTTTGAAATAAAACTATTAGTTTCATCTGATTTGTAGTTATAAATTTGTTTAGTGAATTCTAAAATCTTTCTGCTAGACTTAACACGGCTCTAGTTTTCCCTCTAAAAATGGATCATGAAAACTAGAAGATATCAAATATATACATATGCTACTGTAAATGACACTTCCATAAGAGAGACTATGTGAAAAAGACATTCCTGTTGAACGTTTATTAAACAAAAATCACAAATGAGCACCATTGTAGTTTAAAAAAAGTCAGTTTCTAAAATAAGAAAGCCCTCATTTAAAAGTATCTTTAAATGTCTTATGAAACTAAATTTATATGCTTACTTAACATTTTGCACATTTAAACTACTTAGTCTCTTCCTTACTCCCATGATAAAAGTTAAGAGAAAATTAAGTTACAGATCGAACATTTTCTTCCAGTTCTATCCTGGTTCAAACTATGAATGGTAGATTGTGTGTATGTTAGGAAGGTATGCATTCTAATTTATGTAAACTGCAGCTAACAGAATTTTGTTTGCCTGATGACCTGTGTGGATTTACTGATCTACCAGCATGCTAGGAAGCTTTCTTTTTTAATGACTAGGAGGAAAGCAGGCAAATGAATATTAGGTTGGTTACATGTGGAGCTGTTGTGGCTAATATTGTGACTGCAGATTCTATCTGAAGATGTATGTGCAGTCCCTTTGTATGTGTTAACTTTATTTTTGATACTGTACATCTTAATCGTTTTTAAAAGCACCTAGGTTAACATTTAGGCACTTTAATCTAAATGAAACATCCTAGCAAAATTAGGGAGACTGCTAGGTAAGTAACAGGCATTAGTAATGTTCCAGAAAAGTAAAAACTTACTTTGACATGCACTTTTACCTTATTCTGTCTTATTTGCTGCAAGACAAATGGAAAGCTTTCTTTATATTACCCTTTACTATAACAAATAAGCATGCACATACAAGACATCAATTAATGTGTTTTGTGGACAGTAAGAACAGGACTTAAATATTTTGAAGTCCAGACTGGACATGCAAATGTCACCTGTTGGAGTTCATACTTTAGTTGTTCTGGGGCATGATGAAAAGCCTATTGAATCAATGTAAAAACTCATGGACTTCAGTGAGCTCTGGATCAGGCTCCTAGAAAGTACGCTCCTCTAAAACATTTTTGATATTAGGAGGTCCCCTTTCTTTAGTTCTTTATCGAATGAGAAATTTGATACTTACTGGTTGCACCCATCAAGTGCCAGGTTATTTTAATGAGCATGTGGCCCTCAAATTAATCCCGCATAGGATTTTTCATCCTTAAGACTATCCAGTGAAGGGAGATCACTTGTGTCAGTACAAAATTCTCTGATCCTAATGAGTTTAGTAATACGTAAAAGCAGATGTTATACACAGAAAACACTTTCTGGCCCTGTAAATCACCTTTTCGTCTCTCTCATTCAGAAAGTTACCTCAAAAATTAAATATCCTGGCCATAACCAGGTCAGGATCCATTGACTTCAGTGGGCTTTGGATAAGGCTGTTTATAATACTTTGCACAACCAACTTAAGAATGTATTCAGAAATAAATATATTGGGTAGTCTAAATTCAAATACAATAAAAAAAAATCTTTAGTTGCCTTTTTAAAGAATTTACAAGTCTTCATCTATGCCAGACCTGTGCATAACCTCAGACCTAAGAAATCTGGTATCATACACGCAAATATCTACTTTCATTTTGAGGATTATGACTGCTCACTGAACTGTAATCAGTCTGATTGGAAACCCTTGATTTTATGCACATTTATGTTTCTCATATTCTTATACAAAGAACAGTGCAGAAAAAGATATTTTGTGTGGGTCATATTATTGATCAAAATCTACTTACCTAAAATGAAATCGCACATTTCTTTTCCCTAATATTTAAAAATATGTAGCTTTTCCTTTGGGGCCAGGAAACATGCCATAATAGTTTTTCTTTGGGCTTTAACAACTTTGCAAAAGCTATTCTATTT